CGCCGTGACGATGAACTGATTCTAGAGGAAAACAGAGAACACACCATCTCATATCAATAACCCTTAAAACACTCAACTCATTACACTGATGCCCTGTGATTGGGTCCCACAGATCATGGCAAATGATAAGGATTAGTAAGTTTGCCTGCAGTAATTCCAGTAGACTTCCGGAGGCCCTCCACTAACAATGGAGGTTCCTCTGGTTCTACGCACTGTTCTTCTCCCACATCTACCTCAGCCTCTGGGTAAAGTTCAGACTCTGACACAGACTCCTCACTGCAGGATTCAGCAAATGGCAATTCTGGGGCTTCAAAATCTACTTCTTCCTCACCTACAACTACAATACACAACACTTTAAAGCAGATGGGCTACAGCAGCTGAAGAACACACTGGGTGCCACTCCTGTCAGCTAAGATTAGGAAACTGAGGCTACAATTAGCACTGGCTTAACAAAATTGATTGGCGACTAGAACATTGGAAAAACGTTGCCTAGTCTGATGAGCCTTGATGTCTGCCTCAATATTCAGATGGTAGGGTCAGAATTTGTAAACAACATGAGAGCATGGGACACCCTGGACCATCACAGGGCTTTTACAATTAATCACACCCTTAAAATACTATTCAAGATAAGAAACACGTATTACAGGAAAGGTGTGTATCACTTACCCTGGTCATGGCAAAGAGCTGCAATCTGCACACAGAGGATGTCTCGCTCATCGATTATTTGTTATTTGTTATTGCACTCTATTGTTTGTTTAATATAGTTTCTGCAGCATTTGCTGCAAAATTTTTGTTTATTACGGATGCTTTTGTTAAAAAAAAAAAGAAAGAAAGAAAAAAAGAAAAAAGAAAAGAAAGGAAGGTCACAAGTAAATAAAAAAATTCCCAATGGGTTTTAAGGATCAGATTTTTGTCAGTCTTTCTTTTTCTATTTTTTTAATGTTGAAACTGAAGGCTTTCTTTTCATGTGTTTTGGCGTCACACTGTTCCTTTGTGGTAGACTGATAACGGGCTTAACAAATGCTGAGTAAACACTCACAGTTTTGATTTGGTGGTTGTGTAGAATCACTAAATGCCCTCATCTTGCACACTCTTTTGCTTCTAATGTTTTGATTGTTTTCTCAGAGAGCTGTGTGCATTTGTGCAAGTGGAGCAACAGTGCCATGAATGTATTCAATTCATATGATCTTAAATT